ATGTTTTGGGTGTACTATTCCTTTAATCTTTTCTTAAAGTTCAAGAGGCTATTTTAAAGAATCATAATTTAAAACACCAACTAACCATATTTTAAAGACAATTAAGCACAAAATCTTAGAAAGAGCAAGTTTTTTTTTCAGCTTTGGTAGCAGTCGCAATACACTGTTTTGATGCACTGCCTAGAAGGCCATTGAGTTTCCAAGTACTATGAGTTTAGATACTTTGGCGATGATGTCTTTGGTCAGAATGATGCACTCTGATTGGCCTTAATGCAGCCACCTTATAGAGATTTTATAAACCAATTAAAGTTCAAGGAGAGCTGCTCTGAACAACTTTCCTGAGCTTTCAATGGGAGAGGATTGAAAGAAGATGAGTGCAAACAATGTGGATTAATTCTTGTATTCATATTACCGCTGCATGTTTTCTTCACATTTTGAACTGGGACTGTTAGTGATTACAACTTTACTTACCAAGGTCTCTTGCCCTCGCAGCACCAGCAGATGACCAGATTCAAACATGGTCATGATAATTGGAGGTCCACTGGGTCCTTGCTCAAAAACCTGCACAAGAAAAAACAACAGGTAAATAAATTATACATTTTTAAATTGCCTGCCCCTTCTTTATCTCTACAGGTGGCCAGAGTTGCTCTTCTCTGTATTTTCTGCTTTTCTCAGACTGCGAAACTGGATCTTCATTTCTGCAGATTTTTCTAGCATTACAATGCTTCAGATATCTTGGATATCAGAAAGTACTTCAACCATATTTGGGTATAAATATGAAAAAAAAAATGTATCTACATTTTTGTCAGTAAACAGAAGCAAAATACTTTCTTTTTTCTCCATATGTAGTTTTACGGGTAAAAACCAGCTCTTATATCATCAAAGGTGATCATCATAAAACAGCTTATACATGCTTTTATATAGGTATTTTTGTGAAGTATTTGATACATTTTGTATGAGTTGAAATTAATTAGACCACATGTGAATTGATCCAGGTCCGGGCTAAATGACTAGACTGTATCTGCTTAAGCCAAAGTTGATTCTACTTCTATCATCAATACATATAAATTAATCAGAATAACACAGAAAAAAGGAATTTTATTACTTGTATAATGTTATATTTTATACAGAACCTTATATATTGTATGGATTCAATATGGCTTTTGATACATTGTTTGTTACTTCTGTTTTATTTATTATCATTATGACGTACAGCTAATGAAAACTACTCTAATGGAATTCATTTCGCAATGTTTCTTTTCCTCAATACGCACCAGAATTTAAATTGTGTGTATGAACGTTCATGTGGATGTAGCGTTAGCAACATTAGCAGTTTGTCTGAATTTGTTTAAAGTCGGTTTCCTGATCTTTCACACAATATGTAAAAATGTCCACAGGAAGCAACATTTCAGGTATGCAGGTGAGTCCCCGACTGATGTAGTCACTCACAACAGGAGTGGTGATACTAATGCAGGCTAATGTTAGCATCCTTCCATGATGACGTAAATATTTAAACTTAGACATGCTGTAGACAAACTTTATTGTCCTTTTGTATGCACAGACTGCATAAAGAAGGAAATTCTGTTGCATACAGCTTACATGAATGAGACTGTACCTGAAATAAATAATATTACAATATGAAGTGCAGTGGTGTTATGATGTACCATCGCAAGGAGAAAGAAAATTGTGTTCTCTTGATCATAAGAAAAAGGTAACAGTTTTTTTTGTTTTTTTTTTTAGTATAATATGGGAAAAAAAGTCAGAATTCTGAGAAAAAAGTCAGAATTCTGACTATTATATTGAAATAAAATTTAAAACTCAGTTAACTTTTTTTCCCCAGTGGTCCTAATCCTCTTCCATATGATAAACACTACAATGACAAGAAAAAAGTCTGATTTCCAGGTGATAATTTATTTAAGTCACTATTTATTTCCTTATGCTCTTCTAAATTTCATTCTAATCTAATCAGTTTTTCCAGTCATGTTTCATGTATTTTTGTTCATGAGCCCCCTATTTTCTTGCAGGATTTGTATCTTCACATATATAACAACTAATGATTTTTTTGCAAATTGATTAATTTGTCGATTCTTTTTTTCTTTTAATGGATTAATCATTGGATAGCCAAAGGTTCCTTAAAGATTTTCATGGAAATAAACCAGGTGAAACTAAAGCTTTTCCACTAGAGAAGTTCTGGATAGAGCATATTGACAGACAAAAAGTTTTTTTTTTTTTTTTTTTTATCATAAATGTGAAATTTTATGTTGTTTTTTTTTACTCCAGTTAACGATTGATTACTAAATTAGGTTACAATTATTTCAATAATTGATTCAACAGAATTAATCCAATTAATTATTATAACCCTAAAGTTTATTATCATGTATATACTGTAGAGGGAAAAAAGGTGTATGGGGGATCAGTTGGACTGATGCAAAAAAAAAAAAATTATCTGTTTGGGTATCGGACTAGAAAAACAAAATAAAAAACAAAAAACAAAAAAAGAATCAGTCCATCTTTAAAGTGTCCAAAATTTGCTAGACTGATTTTGTAGAAAAAGTAAAATATGAATATATAGAAAAGATTAAAAAATGAATATTTTACAGTCAAAGTTTTAAACAATGACCAAAAAATATTCATATATTTCTTTAAATAATTACATCCGCACTTATTTTATCAGCTCTTCATAAAAATCCAAATTAAACATATAATATGAAAAACTTCCACATTTCTTAAGATTTGCTTTAACATTTAAGTAAGCTTTATCTTGAGCAAAAATATTCTTCTCTAAAGTCTAAAATGTTGAGTGGTCCTATCAATAGATTATTATTCTAGGTTAACCTACAGTACACCAAGAATAATAAATTAAAGATATTAAATGTTAGCATCTGCAGCTGTTAGCATAGTAAGCATATAATGCTAACTCAACTTTAGCTAGCTTGAAACTAAAGTTTTTTCCTTTTAGCCAGCATACTGCTAAGTTTAAATTAAACAGAATTTGGTTACCTTCCATGATTTTGGTCCTTTACTAGGTACAAAGCATCCAAAGCGTCTTAAAGTCGAGGTTAGACTAGGTGCCATTCTTCAGAAGAGAGTACTTTGGGGGGCGTGTCTTCTCCTACACTTTTTGGCACTTAAACGACATAAAATTCAAAGGACCAATATAAAATAAAAGATACATTGACAAATATTTTTAAAAGGATGTTGACAATAGTTTATATATATTCATTTTTATATATGTATTTATATATTATTATATATCTTCATTACAGACATATTTTTTTCATTTTAACTGCATTTTTCCTGTTTTTATCCGTTGACATTTGTTATGTTCCTTGACTTTAATTCAGCATTACGTCTTATGTTTTTTCCTTCACATATATAGAACTTTATCTCTTAATTTAACATTTTGCTCATTACAAACCTGGTAGGTATATTTTTGTGTTAATTTAGCAAAATATACAATATATATTCATGGCTATAATTCTTTTTTTAGTCATTCATTTGTGCACTCAGTTAAACTAAAAGGACTTTAAAAAAATTTTGGGATAAAGTATTATATATACGTAATCAAAATCACAAACAGCAAATTTTTGGGGGAAGTTTTATGTGCTGAATAAAATCAACACAGAGAGGAACTCATAGGCAAGGGGAAAACCGTGGGTAAAATATGTTCAATCTGAAAAACTCACACGGAGAGAAAAGACAAATAGAAGAAATTTATTGATGCAATTACTTTAGACTGTGGCGCTCAGACCTCGGCAGGAAAACATAGCGCTGAATTTTGATTTATTTGCATGAACAGGAGGAAAGAATAGGGCTGTTTCCACCCCAGGCCTGAAACTGGTGGTAGATAGATAGATGAAGTTGGTCAGTCTGTAGACTGCTGGTTAGCGAGACGGTATGCTGAGCTTTATGGGGAGATCCAGTGGACTGTATAAGCTGATGCTAGAGCTTCACTCAGGGACCTCGAAGATGGAAGTCCAGCTTGGATAACACAGGTTGAGAGAACCTGTCAATGATGACCAAGCATGAAGCGACAGTGGAGAGGAAAAACTCCCCGCTGGGAAGGAACCTCTGGCAGAACCAGGCTCAACATGGCGGTCTTCTGCCAGACCAGCTGAAATGAGATGCAGAATGCAGTAAGAGTCTGTGAGGAATGAAACTCTGAAGAAGTTTTAGCTACGATGGTGGACGAGGGGCTGGAGGTGGATTGAAACGGGGTCTTCTGAATAAAGTCAGACACAGCGCAACCACCTCCTGCCCACTAGGTAGCAGAAGAGTTACGGATCGGAGGCCTTTTAAGATGAACTTTGGATGACGCTTGGCTGTGCCGTAGGCAGATGAAGGCGAGTAATCAGTTTATTCAGTTGAACTTCTCACAAGGCTCCATTTCTCCACCATGAAACATAGTGGTGGCGGCATCATTCTTTGGTTATCAAGCTTACTTTTTCAGTGGGACAAAGCTGGTCATACCTGCTGGCATAATAAATCAACCCGAGTAAAAGGCAACCCTGAAGTAAAATATTTTAAAAGACCTTATCTGATTTGATGAAAAGCAGAGGTTCACCTTCCAACAGAACATGACCCTGAAAACACATTCAGAGGAAGAAGGAAGGGCTTAGTTCAGGGGATACTGAGGTATTATACTTGGTCTGACAAAGCTTTAAACAGATTATCTCTTGTTAGGAAGTTACTGATTATAGACACTCATTTTATATATATATATATA